GGGATCTTGGGTTAAGATACTTAGAATGTAGCAGACTGAGGTTATTACCTAGCAGGATACAAGGTTCTTTGGTTAAAGCACTTGGAATATAGCAGTCGGGGGTTATTGTCTAGTAAGGTACAGGATTCTTTGATTAAAATATTTAGAATTATATCAAAATTAGATTATCTTTGAGGAAAACTTTCCTTTACTTAAATGATATTTGCGAAAATGCCAGTTTATCATATTTCATTGTGCTATATCTTTGTCGAAAAAAATGATATTGAAAAAATGAGTAGTGCATTTTGAAGAGTAAAAGTTGTTCTTTAAAGTACCGTTGTCAAATTTGCAGAACAAAATATTTTTTTAGAAAGTTACAAGGGTCGAATAATAGCAAAAAACATGTTTTTGACGCTCTTAGGTTAGAATATCTCGAAAACTGCGGGTGATGACGTAATTCTGAGCTCGAATGTGGATTCAGTGCATCCAATTCCTTCGGGTACAGCAGGTTCAGTCTGTGGATGTGAAAACATGTTGGCCTGTGTTATCAACGCCATTGACCTATCAGTACATCAAATATTCAACTAGCAAATATACGACTAATAATATAAACGAAAAAACAAAAGTACATTTATTACATTTATATTTTTAAATAGAGCACTAAATATATACGAATTATGTAAGCTCTTACTTGATGTATTCGTTTATCAAATCTAGAAATGTACAATGTATCCGGAATCAATAGTGTTATCTATGATTCACCAAGGAATTCTTTTATAATTTATTCTAAGTTTTCGCTTTTATCTATTATAAAATTTAAAAATGTATATGAAATATTGTCGATTTAAAGGCATATTGAATACAACTTGATTTTAATAAACTAAATTTCCTTTGTTTTGTTGAACAACATAAAAATCTGATTTACAAAATTTGCGCGTTGACTATAACGTAAAGCTGTGCGATCGTGAGTTGACTTTGGAGCATATGTAATTTTCTTAAAAGGCATGTCTATAAGCATGTCTTCGTACAGTCAATAAACTTGAATTGCATAAGATTCTCGACACATGTATTGATATTCTGATTGCGTTTCCACAACTCGATTTCAATTGATTTAGTAATGCTCTAGTTCGGATACATCAACAATAATTTTGATTATTCATACGATTTAGAATTGCTGTATCTTTATTCTATGAAAAATTTCGAATCTAGTATCACATTTTTAGATTCCACGCCTATTTAGTAAGCTTACCTTAGCTTAGAGAAGGTAAGATAAAAATTGAGCCAACAAGCTAAGCACGCTCTACACATTTTTTCTTCCATTTTTCGCTCCCTGCATGCCATTTCTTTTCATTACTCTTTACGGCTTACCAATTTTATACTTTATTGCTATTATTTTTAGAAGTATCTACAATTGCTGTTTAAACATGAAATGCTTTTTAGGATCTCGGCAAACATCAAGTTACTAACAATTTTCATTCAATGAATAATAAAATACGTTGTAAACATAGAGAAGTCGGTAAATTATTTCGTATTTATGTCGACAAATTAACCAGAGTGCGAGTGTTTGAACAAATTATATGTTACGTAAAATTGTATGCAGAAGTGAAAATAATTTATCTGCAGAGAGATACCAAAATACCCAGCGAAACGATATTACTGCAATATTTATATTAATGTTAATGACCTCCCGTGCGTAATTATTTCAAAAGTAACTGTCATTGTTTTCCACATCAATAAATTCGTATTTATCAAAAACTGTTGTCCTCTTCGCAATAAATTGGTCGGGAGTTTTTAATAATGTGTCAAAGAAAATGTTATAAAAAATATATATTATACGAGTAAATTGTTAAAAAGTAATTGAAAATTGGTTCAGCAAGTTTCCACAGCTGTCAATAGAAACTTCGGCCTTACATAAGGCGACAACGGCATTCAACATTCTTTGCGATAGTTTCGCTTGTGATGTTCGTGCGACCACTCTACAGCTTACCCAAATGAAAAGTTTTTCCGACAGCGTAAAACTTACAAACTTGGACTGGTGCGCGAAACAACTGTCTGAAGACCACAATCGAATGAGAGGTTTAGAAAAGTGGAAGAGACAATACACGAGTATATCATCGGGAAAAGTGAAGAGAAAGAGAGAGTGAGAGAGAATTGCGAGCTTCGGTCAACCAGCAAGAGTGGAAGCTTAAAATGACGCGAAAAAGAAATAAACGAACGTGCCGATGGACAGTCAGAGAGTATAGCGCGATCGAGAGTTGGAAGCGTAATCATGTCGTTATTCCGGCTAAAGAGTTCGGGAGGAGGTCGTCCGGAAGCGAATTTATCGCGAACGCGTGCTCGCGATAGACAAGGGCACGCGGACAAAGCCGAAAGAATCTTCGTGCTCGACAAGCATTCCCACGTATACACCTGCCCAAGCACATATCCTGCCAAATATCGTTTCGAGCGATTGTCTGTTCGTGCAGGCAGTCCTCGCCAATCAAAGCTTTCGAGCACGAGTCCGACGTGTTACTCGAACGACTGGGAAAGTTGCGAGTCTATAATTATCAAAACAAGCCTGCAAGAACAAGAATCGTAAACAGACAGAACAGAGCAATGAAAAAGCCTTTTGCGTGGTAAATATTGCAGTGCACGACACGTCCCCTGAAATAAAATCTGCACTCGCGCGCGTCGCGTGGAGCTTGTACGACTGACCTATTTATTGGCTAAAAGATATAGCGTGCTCTTGCAGCTCTCTGCCAGGTACACAACGTGATAGCGTGCATGTGCACGTCGGTTAAAGGCTTCGACGATGGACAAATTGATTTTTCTTCGGAAACGGAGCTTGAACGGCGAACGCTCGGCCGATGAGCAACGAGGTGTGCGCACTGCTAGAAAGCACGAACGCGAGCTGGCCCATCGGTGCGCAGCAGGCGAACGACGATGGTGCGCGCCAAAGAAAACATTGCAGCGCTCGTACGATTGGGCTACACAGCCGTCTGCTGGCCAAACGACAAGTTTTTCCGTCAGCGCAAAACTTGCAAGCTTGGATTCGGGCGCGGACCAGCTGCAGCTGTCTCGAGAGCACAATCGGTTCGAAGGCTTAGAAAAGCTGAGGAGACAACACACAGCAAGTTCGACGACTTGGCAAGTTGCAAGTCCATATTATCGAAGCAAGCTTCCGGGAGCAAGAGGCAAAGCAGAGCGAGCCTAATGACACTGACTGGAGGAGGCGAGCACGTGTCAAGTGGTTGGTAGGCTACCGCACACGGGTCAGCCTACCTCGTTCGAAGGTTTGCATTGGGCCAAGCAGACTCTGCAATCCGTATATACAAAGGAAGCGGGAGGCGAAGGCGGGCCGGATTCGATTCGAGGCATCGAGGCAAGTGACGGTGGTGGCAGGCGAGCAGCGAGCAGCGAGCGACACACGCGTATAGCTCGCGCTATCTCGCGCCGCTGGCTCTACTCCTCGTAGCAGGCACATTAGCTGCCGCGCTGCAGGAGCGCGAGTCGAGGGAGAGAGAACTCGAGCGAGATCAATAACGCGCCTATCGACGTGCGGGCCCGTGTGCTAAACTATGTTTTCCTTTCTCCTTCTTCGCTACTACACCGTTCCTCGCGCCCATTGCCTTTCCCTTTCGCTGGTCCACTTCCGACGCTTTTTATTTACCCTCTCCTGGGGCATCCTCGCAGTTGACAAATGTACGCGGATGTGCCAGCAGTGTTGCGCCTTGTCTAAACCACATTTTTACAATGACTCTTGGCCATCCTTATCCTGCTTGGATAAAAGTTGTTAAAACAGTTTGTTAAAACTGCGTTATAGAAAGAAAAGACGCTTTGTTGAACTCACCCAGTCACACAGTATCGTTTATCGTCCAGTTTATTTGGCCCAATCAACATCCTCATCGCATTTTATCGACTGCCCGAATTAATTGGCTAACTAACAAATACACAAACATTAAAAAAACAATGGAAATTTACGGCGGGATATCGGACAAAAGTAAATAATAATGCATCGCATAACAATCTGGAATAAAAAAATGGACCTAAGCTTTCGATTATATATTATATAGCTATTTATTTGACTGAAGTTCATAGTCTAGCACTCGCTTTCATCGTCAAGGACCCCGCATGTTCATTCAACAGCGCACTGATTCATTGCATTGACGTATAAAAAAATTCAATTTCAGTAGAAAGTTAGACCCTGTCGAGTTTCTGATTAACTCGATGTTGCGTTACATCCTCAAGGGCATATCTCACAAAACACTTGCATTTTATTTTTAGAAACATCTTCCTTCTTAAGAAGGCAGCAACTGGCAAACATGAAAATCCTAAGTACATGCCTCAGTGCAACGAGCGCGCGTGGATAGGCGAACAAGCGATAAATAATCATAAATGACTACGTGTGACGTCAGGTCTGTGTGGAGCTTGGCTTATTCTACTTTTTGTTAGTACATACCAACGGAATGGAAAGAGAATGCAGCTTATTCTGGTAAATGCTTCTTGCCCTAACACTTTACAGTTGGAAAGAAAGACTTCGATATTATAAATTATCAAAGTGTTTGTCCGTCACGTATGCCTTGACGGTAGTTCGGTCGCGTGGACAACGGATACGAGCGTAGCTGATAATCTCGGCCTCGCACATTTATCAATGCTACTTAATTTGATGCCGCGCGCATAATTACCCCAGCTAAACTGATAGTCAGCCAGCACAACTAGGCCTATGTGTTGAGAGAGAGAGAGAGAGGAGAGAATACAAGAGGTGAAAAAGGGACAAAATCGATCTGTTAAATTCGTATCTGCCGCGAGCGGGTAAGCAAGCGGATTTGTACTTTTGACGAGATCTCCACCCTCTGAGTGGAAACCCGGTAGCTCTCCTGCTTGCCTCGGTTCGATATCTCCTCGCTTATTTGTCCTGCTGGTTGTTTATGCGTTGTCTTCGAAAGTGACGCTAGAGGAAATATCGACGAGCCAGGCAGGGAATCAGAGACTATGAAGCTGCCTCAAAGCAATAGTGATGATTGTTTAGAGCTGTCTCGTACCTTGTTGAGGTGAGGGGGTCAACGGGTCGACGTTGACTGGACGAAGGAGGGCCAGATACACTGCAATTAGCACTTGAAATCTTCACTGGAGTCGACTCGCACGCTGACAAAGCCCGAAAAGACTGTTGCGGACAAGAAGCGAGCTCGACTGTGAGTGGTGGTGGTGATGGTGGTGGTGAGACTGCGCGTCGATGCGCGCGCGTATACGTGAGTCAGTGTGGGAGGGTGTACCGAAGTGTGCACCTAGGTGCGTAGACAGAGAGTGTCTATGTATCGGCCGATCGAGCGGGCCCTAGAATCGCGAGACGCCTTCTCTGAAGGTACTGCTGGAGAGGCGGACCTGCCCCGGAGGTAAGACCGAAGCGACGACTCTCACTCTCGCACTGGCCTCGTCGAGTTGACGGCTCACGGACAAGCTGCTGGATCGCCGCGCAGCAATGAGACGCCCGCGCCACCGTTGGCCTCCGCCATACCTAAAATATCGACCGTTTTTCCACTGGGCCGTGATAGACCGAGGCAGACAGTGAGACAGAGAGACGAAGCTAATCAGCGCTGGGGGCGCGAAAGAGCGAGCAAGAGAACCTGATAACGACGTGGCGCCTGCGCCGACATCCACGCTTTGCGCATCAATATACCAGCGTGTACGCGCGCGCGCTTCGCTCGGCGGCTATCGAAGCTTGCTGGCTGAATTCTCGAGGCCGAAGGCAAAGCGTATTACAGCACCTCTCGTACTATGTACTAGTTGCAGCTCTCGACAGCTTCCCCAATGCTCTGCGTTTGCTCTCGATAAGATTCATTATCCATCTTACCTACATGTTGATTTTTACCCTTGAACCTATTCTACCGTATACTTCTTTCCACTGCGTTCCGTTATATTTCAATTCACACCTTTCCCACTTCATTGCATTCTCTCTCGTAATATATCTTCAAATACGCTTATTACTCTGCGTTTTCATCTTATAAGTTATTCACCTTTAAAAATTAGCCTAATTACTTTTATTTCCATTTTCTCTATCAATTATTTACCAATCATCCGATATTGTACCTAAAATCATGATCATCTTCGTAGCGATCGACGAATAGTGTTCAAGTTTTCAATTAGTAGACTGAAATTTAAACTCGTCCTCGCTACATTGTACATGTAGAATCCCACTTTATCGACACGACATGAGCGCTTACCGGACAAAAAAACACGAAAAACATAAATACGTGGCAAAGTTTAACAATACATCAGAACCAGACTAAAAAACTAATTTACGAACTTTAGGAAATTATTCTACTACGTACTGTTTAGATTCATTTAACTATTTCATTTTTGATGTCATTGCTTATTAGAAACATTTGACAAAGTTTAACTTGCATGCTACTCATATTTTATCTGACAGAAAATTGTGTAGTTCTATCAATTGCAATGAAAAGCAATTGTCATGCGAACTAATACTAAAATAATATAGTTATCTCCTGTAGCTAAGAACATATGTTATACACGCGCATTCGTTGCACACGCGGGCCGACTGAAGTAGAAGACATAAGAAAGGCCGAAACAAACAAACTGTACGCGGTAAATACATGATAGACCAGAAATGAAATAGAACATAGACAGCTGCAAACCTAAATAAACAATTAAGCGATATGACTCTCTCGGTTCCCAGGATATACTTATTCCTGAAGGAAGTGGTAGGGACTTATCTTAAGTTTGTGAGCCCCCGAGAGGGACAAGCGCAGGCAGTCCTGTACACGATCTCGCCTTGTAAAGACATCTCTCTGGAGCTCTGTCACTTTATAATAAAAGTAATATTATATAACTGCCGACTTCGACGCCTAGATTCCTGCAAGTACCCACACGCGCCTTATAACTCGACTATCGCTACCGCAGCGTGTAAAACTTGCCGTGACATTCATCAAAATTGGATGACACAATGACAATTTTTTAATAATCGTATAAAAATTGAATTGTCGATACATAAGTACCTAGTATATATGAAACGAAATGTAGAAATATATAGTTACATTAAATTTATTAAAAAATTACAAGTTAAATGTACATTTATATACATTACTGAGTCTGAAAACATAATACTTGTACTTATATTTATTACAGATAATGTGCAATATTAATATCATGTTCAAAAGTAATTTGAGGTGAATATGGATATAATTGTCTGCATTTTATAGTTCACCAACGGAAATTTCGTAATCATTCATCAATCGTGAATATCACGTAGTTTTTACATTGTCAAACAGAATATACTAGTGATTACATTAATACTAAACTGATAACTTCGCTTTGAGTTATTCAACAAATATGGTTACAATCTAGTTTACTTTAATGATACTGTTATTAGGTTCTACAGTCTGATCGAAATCTATTATAAGCGAGCTTAAAGTAATTCCTGTGAATTCCTACAAATCGGCGTATCACAACGTTGTAATTTTGATTTTGGTAATGCTACATTGCAAAATAATGGACAGAAATATCGATAGGAATACTCGAGAAAATTTAGTTCTGGAAATTCGTGACTATGTAAATCAGACATGAGACACCCTATAATTACATACTGGCTTTGTAACGAGAACCTGCTCGTATTGCCCATAGCGCGCTACAGCGATGACGCACCGAATGTTTACAAAGTTGAGTCGGATTTCAAGGATTTGTGCGTGCTTTTCGACGGAATCTCCAATGCATAGAGAGTTAAGGGAGAAAATGGCGAGTTTTCACAGCCTACTTTCAAAATCGTCGGAGACTGGCTGAGGATTTGTGGCAGCCCACTTATCTCTGTAGGCCAAATCCTCTTTGGCCGGCCTGTGCTTGAGCTTTTGTATTCCAGCAAAGTGATCCTCGATTTCTTTTAATGTCCGACCTTCGGTTTCGGGTAGCATCGCGTACAAGCCGATAACGCCGGCGAAATTGACTGCCGCGTAAAAGAGGAAAGTGCCGGGCAGAGTCATGCTCATTTTCATGTAGAGGAAGAGTTTGTTAGCTATCGACGAGAATATGTAACCGATCGAGCCAGCCGAGCCCGTAGCTACGCTTCTCACGTCCGGCGGAAACACTTCGCCTGCAAGTATCCACGGCAACATTTTTAGTCCCAGATGGGAGAAGAACGCGGCGGACACCACGAGGATCGTCGGAATGACAGTGTAGCGCGTGCTGTCGATGTCGTCGTACATTATCAAGAAGCCGTAGACAGCCAGCAGCAGCAGCGAGAGTCCGGTGAAGAAGACCGAGACGAAGGACAGCTTGCGCTTGCCGCTAAAGTGAATGGTGAAGACGCAGACGACGGTTCCGATGACCTGTCCCATGCCCACGTACACGGTCGCCAGGTATCTGGAAAATCGTCACATATGCTCGATTGGCTGCTCAAAGGTGCAGTTGTGCGTCTCCTCACTTGTTGATCGGTGTGTTTAGCGCTTCGAGGATTATCACGGCGAATACCTGCAGTACCATGATTCCGCCGAAGGCATTGATAAAAAATACAAAGGTCACCAGAGCGAACGGCAGATAGAAGGTTCTTTGCAAGTACGCATGCCAAGACTTTCTCACGGGCTCTGGCTTCTCGGGATAGTTACTTTCCAAAGCGGCCGAGTTCGTGGCTTTGACCCTCACTGCTTTCTCAAACTCTTCGCGAAGACTCTCGAATTCGTATTTTACGTACTCTGGACTGACCCATCCTCGCAGCCAGCATAGAGCTTTCTCCGCTTCAGCTAGTCGACCTTTGCCTGTAAAATATTTTACGCCGATTTTTTTTCCAGCACATACAATTTCTTTTTACAAGAGCATCGTGACACTTAGAAAATGTGTCAGCCGTTAATGAGGCCTTTGTGAATTTTATGTTCACGAGCAAAATGCAAGCAATATTGACATCTGTAGGCTAATTCGTAAAATATATGTGCCATGAGAAGGCAAGAGATTGCTTTATTATCGTATTTAAAGCGTCATCCCGGAGATGCAGTTGAAGTAATCGATGACAAGGTTATACCTGCAAGCCAAGTCGGACTTTCCGGCACCATGTATAAGGCCGAAAGACAGACGATGGGGAAAGAAATATTAATGAGTGCGAGAGTCCTCCAGTCGACCAAACTGCCTGTAAGCATTTGCGAAAAGACGCCGCAGATAACGGCCATAGTCGAAGTCGCGGAGAGCAGTCCTCGAAGATGCGGCTGCGTCACCTCGGCGACGTACGTCAGTACGGGTGCCTCGAGCAAACCACCCGTAAGACCGGTCAGTGCCTGAGCGACGAACAGCATCGTAGCGTTGTGCGAGTAATAAAAGATAAGCCAGGCGACGATGAACGGCAGCGTTGAAATCATCATGGCTCGTCGTCGGCCCAGTCTCTGAGATATAGGACCACTTATGAAACCACCCAGTGGCACCAGGAACAAATTTATACTGCCTGCAAATCAATGACACTCGATTACACACTTCGCCACGCGTCATTTTGCACAATTATGCATTTCAAACACAAGGTCGTCGTTGGCGCAGCTCTGAAAACCCAATATTCTGTACTTTGCGCGAAACAAAATTTCAACCATTTTTAAAATAAAGAATATTTCCTAAACTAAACGTCGACTGAACGTCGATAGTTGACAGTTTTACGTTAACGCTCTTACTCTTATATCGGATTAATTTGTCACGGATAAAAGTCATACTGATTTTCATTGCCGTAACACATCGTGCAACTGTCGTCGTTTATTAATTGTAACGGCAAATTCAATTTGAATACGTTACCGATCCATGTCACTTCGTCGAGTGTAACCGGTATGACCGGTGTATTCTTTTGCAGTTCGGGAATGAGTATTGTGGGAAAGCCAAGGCTTGTGCCAAAAGTAAGCAGAAGGAGATTTTTAGCTCCAACGGCGAAAAATTGTGGCAAGGCCTCTCTTATCTTTGACACTTCGTATGGCTCCGACTTCACGATTGCAGCAGCACACTCTGGTAGCTTGCAGTCATTACTTTTGATGAAAACATAAAATAACGTTTTTCTATTTTAGTTCCAGGCAGTTAAATATGAAAAATTGTTAGTAATATGAAAGAGTGGCGATAATACTATTATCTATAAGCTTTTATGTTTATAGTACTTATTAATAATCTAGTCTTATTTTTGTCTGTAATTGCTCACAATTTTCACAAAATTATATTACTTGAATATTAGAATAAATTAATTAATGCTCTTCCGATCACAGAAAAAAGGAAGATAAAAACATGACGTAATCAAGATCAATTAGCATACCTTAAGGTTTCTACTCAAGTTTCTACTCACTGCTCGATTAAGATGCCTTTCACTTTTACTTCGTGACTTATTTTTGTCTCTTTCGGGTTGCCACTCTTATTATGAATATTACTTAAATATTTCTTTTGAAATGGTGTCATCAAATTAAAGTAATATTCAATAACACATATATAATTGAAGATCAAGTGTCTAATTGCATAATTTATTTTATTTTTAATTGCTTTATAGAATTTGTAATAAATCGTTCGTGAAGTATCTAAAAAACCAACATTTTTGGTAAAAGTACTAAATAAAAATTTTAAATTAATCGTACAATGTTGATAGTGAATTAAATAGTATCTGTTTCAATTACAGAATAGTATACGAAGTCGTTATAAATATTCATAAGATTAATATTCACTGAAACACTGGTTGGCTTGAAAAAAAAAAGGAATTGAAGAATGGAAAAGCCAAATAAAAAAAACTTCCTTTCCACAGGTTATTGATGATATGAAATTGAACCATTGCTTTAATTATAAATTTTCTCAAAAATGTTTCTCATAGTTCCTGACCTCGATGAAGGTAAATCTTTCGTTACCAATACATCGAGGATTTACGAAAGTAATATTTCCTTCACTTGTCAGATACAGTAATATTCCTTCTAATTGAATAAATATGTTTTTTAGATAAATACTTAACAACTAAACCGTTGTTTAATAATATGAGAAAAATATTTAACTTATGAAAATTTTTGCAATTGCAAAATTTGCAACCAAAATTTTAAATTAGAAAATAAAAGTTTCGTTAATTTTTTTTCCAACTAATCATTAGACTTGTAATTCTTGGTGAACACCTTGGTGCATTGTATATAAACATTATTCGATGGAGAATCCGTATGCTTCACGTTGATGCAAGATAAAAGTATGTCATATACAGCTGGCAACTCTCGCGAACGGAACAAGTTGTCAAACCATTCACCAAGCGCCGAGTTGTCTGTGCCGCAATGCAAAGTTCATCGCACGTCTTTCACAATACAAAACGAGCTTAATAAAAAAATTGTTTTCAGAGAACAATCAGCGATAAGCTGAAGATCGTCGTTATCTTGTAATGGAATATCACATATCTAGAGGATCGCGATTCATTTATACTTTCCGTGATTTTTTTGCGGAATCATGAACTCTAACTTCCTGTCTACTTAACAATACATCATTTCTACATTATCTATTAAATATTGTAATTATTACGTTGATACTACTAAACTTTATAGTATATAATATAATAATAAAGACCTAACGTGCTCATTTACCTATTACGAGCAACAAAAATTAGTAAGAACATGGTCACCTCGTGTATCCAACTGACATGAGCTCAGAAGTCTAAAATCAAATTTGTAACTTCTTATGAACGAACTTATAGATTTATTGTCACGTTAATTTGCATTTCTTATTTTCATTATGCATTTCAAAATTTCTAATTAAAATTTATCTTAAAAGAAAATTTAAAGCATCTTCATACAGAAAGAAAAATGTTATTTTGCGAACAATTCTTTTCTATTTAAAATTATAGATATAATATATGATTTATAATTTAATATAGAAAAAAATTGACACAAAATAGCATTTAAGATATAATACTAATATTACTAATATCAACTAATTATATGTTGCATGTTTTTATAAATTATTACTGTTGTTAATTTCAAATAGTTCTTAAAATCCATAACATTTTTCTGTTAAATTATATTCATGTGCTAAAAATGTTCTTTCTTATACATCAACCTATTTTTCATGTCTATTTTACAACATTCGCGATTGGAATTCCGATTAAACGTTCGTTTTACTGAAAATTTATAGTTGTTTCTATAGCCGCGGGAAACCCGTATAACTGTAAAAACGACTAAAACATTAAAAGAAATATCACATCAAGATAAATTATCTTCAAATTTATATTACGAGAAAAGAATTTTATTATTTAGTTATTATTAAAATTAAATTTAAACAACTTTTCGAAATGAATACAATCTTCTAAATAATTAATGGCAATATTTCTTGATATTTATCCGAAATTAAACATTTCAATAATTGTTATTGAATATCTAAATAAAATATCTTAAGTTAATTTTAAACTTCTGAAAGACTTGTAATAAATAAAGATACGCGGTGGCATCTAGATACACTTTTTTTGATATTAGAAAAAAAATTCGCTTTTTTATTAATAATACACTTACTCGCGTGAAACTAATCTTTCAACATTTGTTTCTGCTGTGACTAACAAACGTTTTGCTAATAACATGTCGCACTTACGCTACAAGTATAAAGGCGTACTCACAGTCCCATCTTGAGAAACCACGGCCGGCACATTTCTGCCGAGGACACGGTGATTAAAGGAGAATGTACTTGCAATTTCAAAGCCGGCGTAATTATGCTTGTATATAACATTTCTACTTTATCTGTTTCCCGATGATTCTGATCAAATGTATGTAAGAAGCATACATTTATATCAGCAACTCAAGGGATCTTATCCTAAATTAAAATTCACGTAGTATCGATTACCCCGATCGATTGCAGCATTATTCTTTTAAATTAACAATACATATCTACCAAAACCGACTATATTTCAAATTCATATTGTGCAAATGAAACATAAATATCGAATATATAATAAACAAAGAAAATTTAACAAAGATGAACATATGTTTTAAGCGCACATTACGTAAGCGAAGAACAAAGAAAAGTTTCTTATCATAAACCTGTCGGAAAATATATTTTTATGATCTTTTTACATTATAGAAAAAGAAACAAATGAAAACTGAAATAACTATTAAATGTGCTATTTAGTTTTCCTTTACTATTCAATAGCTTTTTATAAAAGTCCAAAATTCAATTTTTTGTCAACGTCAAGTTCACATATTCACACAAATAACAGTAAAAATAATCGTGTAAAACTCATTATATATTATTATCATTTTATATTATCTCTATACATATACTAACAATTTAAAAATTATTATTATCATTATATATTATTATCATTTTATATTATCTCCATACATATACTAGCAATTTAAAAACTATTATTTCATACAAACAGCACAAGTTTTATACAAAAGCTCAAACTTTTAAATTTGTTCGTTCTAAAGTTTTCGCAAATGCTTCCTTTATTTTCAATAATATCATAAGATATTTTGAAGGATTTCAATTGTTGTTCACGCTTTGTTGTCTTGAAAAATTATATTAATATGTGAACTCTTATTTACGAAAACGTTGTTTTCAACAAATTTTAATAAAATTAATAAGTTTTCTGCATCTCTCATGATCTTATAACCTAACTGGTTATATTTAAATGTATGCTCTTTAAAATATTTCGTGTGATTTTATGAGCGCTCAACATAGTTGTGTCATAAATATGAATTATTGAAATATATTCTTATATATGCATTGGGTTTGTAACAAAGTATAATTTTTTTTGACAGAAACACATAAATTTTATTAAAAAACAAAAAAAAAAAACAATGGTAGTTCCGTATACAAGAGCATGTAAACATTGCAACAAAATAATGAAATTTATAATTGGTTTTTACGAAAGATAAATATTTGTCGTCATTTTAACAAGGAAAGCATTTTGCAATAAGGATATCAGTGATAAACATAAAACAGTAATTTTGGAAATGACTCTGCAAATTAAAAAAATAGCGTGATTTTGCAAACGACTCAATCATGTTTAGTGCCAAGTAGTTGTGAATATTGTTTATTACTCAATCACTTAATGATATCAGTGATACTCTTTGTTCCTACTTGATTGCGAGATCACAACAAATAAGATTGTAATAATTGAAATTGAGAAATAGACTATCAGCAAGAAAAATAAAATTTATTAATAAAATGTAACTCTATAATACCTTGGTAAATCCTTTATATCTGGCGATCTCATTTTCGTTTGCCAAAAGTGATATCAGTTTGGTTTTTAACTGCGAACACCCGCTTTACGCATACTCCATTGCCTTCACTAATATCCTGATGTTGATTCAAACTTGAATTTACGTTTCACTCGTTTTCTCGTGGAATTTCACAACAATCGTACTGATTTCACCTGAAACTAAACGTTTATCGGCAAAAAGCACCGTTTGCCGCGAAATAGAAAAAGTAGAAGGAAGTAACTGCATAAAAAGCGAAACGCACTGTTACAGGAGATTACGAAAAGGGAAAATCTGCTGGAGGACCAGCGCACGAGAGCCAAGTGCGATATTCTCTCGGGCGCATTGAGTATGCGATTGGCGATTGGCAAGAGTCGCTGCAAAGTTCGCGGCCGTCACTCGTGCCCCACCTCGGGCCCTCGGTCGCTCACTTGCGCGCTGGCTCCTCGCGCCAAAGCTTTTTACACGCGCGAATTACGCAAAAGTAGGTGCCTCTCTAGGTAGACGCACGCGAGTTTATCCACGAGCGCCGGCGAGCGCGTTGCACAGCAGCTGCGCCTTAACTCCGATTTGACGTACTTCAGTTTTCAGAAGCACCATATAGCACGGATTGTTATACGGATAGAGCAAGGACGTCGCGCGAAAGCCGAGCTGCGCGTAGCCTACTACTCCTATTACGAATTCTCTGCATTCGACGATAATTTCGCTTAAATCACGTTGCGTAAAACAGTGTACAATTTATTTGCTTTTTTGACTACTGAAATATAGCTTACCTACCAAATTGTTGCTGGTCATTCAGTACTCTTACGCAATTTCAAGTACCATTCCTTTTCATTCATATTTTAATGCGCATAGATTATCTGACAACCACCAATACCATATATCACATATACATAGACGATGACTGTTACAATATCAACGTGATCACTTGTTACAACATACATTTTCATTACCATGTTATAAAAATAAATAATGAGCTATTTCCTTGTTTTTGACGGATTACAACGAATTATAAAATAGAGTGCAAGGAACTTCGTGCGTGAAGATAAACAATTTTGTTAATCTGAACAGATTCATTTCAAAAAGATATCTTTCTATTTCAATTTGTATCTATGCCTATAATATCAGGGTTCGTTTGTGTATCAATTTATTTTTTTGAATTAATTGTTGAAAATTTTGAAAAATTATTCAAAAGCTAAACAAAAGTTAAAACCACATTAATCGAATAAATTTATGCATTTTTTATCAGCAAATTTGTCGCAACAAGCTATAAAAAGGATTGATGACATACTTTTGTAGATGCCTACTGTTGATATTGCCTACTGTGTGATTTAAACAAAGAAATTGCGGATTACAAAAAAAACATCGATAAAACTGATTGATTCCCTTTAAGAGCATGAAGTTTAGTTCGCCTATATGTGGTAAGTAATACAATACTTTTATATAAAATATTTATGTTCAAGATTTTTTAGATTACTCATATTTCTCATAGTAAAAGCACAGTAGATTAGTTATACGCATTCAAATTGCATTTCTTTTCAAAAGAAAGTAGATTTTTCTATCATACACAATGAAATAATGCGATTTCAAAAATATCACTTTTAATATAAATTACTATTACACCGATTTCTCTATACTTATTAATTAAAAATCAACATTTCACAAAAACTATTATAATTTTTTTTATACAGTAATTGTGAAAATACACTTTACCAATACAGACTTCTGAGTCGATGACTTCTTTCATTTTCATTTCTTGCTATATCGAATTTCATGAATTCGTGGAAATTGTTTTTGGAAAATTTAATAACAATATGATAAGAAATTGCTAATTTTTTAATACTTCTATATCATTTCATAAAATTATATCGTTTTTTAAAAAACATTTGGAATATTATAAAATATATTATTCAAATTAATGAAAATGCAATTTCTCATTATTTTTCAGATCTTCAACATAGCGTAGCATTGCAAATTCAAACCTTATTAATCTTTCATCAGAAAAAATATATAATTAAACAAAATGATAAATGACAATTGTGAATCAGTTAGTTTGTTAGTACATTTTTCCATTTGAATTTTTCCACCAAATATAGTAAGATAAATATGAAACGAATGTGTAGAGATAAGTAACTTAAAAAAACAAAGACACTTGCTTCAAATTGAATAATATCAGCCTATTCAAAATAATCTTTCTGAATATAACTAAAAATGTTAATCATATCTTTAATCACATTAATTATATAAAAATGACTTGCAATAACTGTTACTTTACAAGGAAAGTCGTTTGAAACGCGGTGTCAATTACATACACGTTAAATAACAAAAATATTGCCCATGAAATCAGAGAAATAAGCGTCTTTCAAAATACGTTATAACCTTTTCCAAACATGATGTTGATTATTTCTTTCCGAATTCATATTTAAATTTAGCAGTATTTCCAACAATCAGGTCCTGTTACACATTCTCACATGAATTCACATAATGTCTACATTTTAAGTAAACTTAAAATTATATAATTTACGTTTAACTTTATTATACCTGTTAATTTATACCACCTTTGTTAAACAGCGAAAACATTACATTATGTTCAGTGGAACAAAAATAGCGTCAATTTGTATTCAAATTTGAATTCTAACTGTCAGAATACACTGAGCCATGGCTTACTTTCTACTCAAAATTTTAATTGTTGCAAAGCTTTGTCAATAGAAATTTCATCACTGAAATAGTATCAATTTGATATATTTTAATGCCCAGAGAAATTTTAATGCAGTGACACAGTTTCAAAGTCGAGCAAGGATCAAAATCTTGAGCAAATAATAAGCCAAAATACGGTTTTCTATGTATAGTATGCTGATCTATACTTCAAATGTGACGCTCAGATTCACGCTATGTTTTTTTATTCTTTTAATAAAATTTTAAAATATCATGAAAAAATCACGGTTATTTTTTTTATGAATAAAAAAAGATGATACGAGCACTTTCTTTGATAGGACAATTTTTTTCTAGTTTCCGATACCCTGTAGAATGATATAGAGTAAAAAATCAGAAGCGTAAACTTTATTTCAAATATTGAAAAAATGGAACCGACTTAATCCTGATTATCTTCAAAATTCGATCTCTTAGAGAGTGTAACTGTATGGCAGAAAAAAGGGCAGATTTCATCAACTGTATAAGAATAATATAGGCTGAAATCCATAGATAAAAGTGATTAGAATTAAGCACCTGGTAAATCGCCAATGATCATATGATAAATTTTTAAATTATATTCAATAATTATAAATAGACAAATCTTTGATAGATATAAACAATTAATTTAATATGCGTCTCAAGACGTATATTTGTCGGTTGAACGTATATATACATATACCTACACATTACCGGCATTGGGTTATGACATTTATGACGATGACATTGATGAACGTGTTATATGTTATACTTGTGATATATAATACGTATACAAGAAGTGTTGTTTCACTGGAGGAAAAAATAAGTGATATTCTCAAAATTGTCGTTCTCGAATAATTTTCTTAAAGTTATACAGATCGTTTTGAAATTTTTTTTGGATGATAGATATAGTAACCTAGACTTTCCATTCAACTACTAAAATCGGTGATAACGAATACGAGGTAGTGAAGAATAAAATAAATGTATTTCGGCGAAGCCTGAAATCGCCATCTTATACTATTATAGTAAGTCGCACACTGCCATGCTTCGTTCGTGTCTATCTCGCATGCGGTTCGCGATTTCCACTCTTGATTATACTATACTAGAATTTGAAAAGAACACTTCGCACGCACCAATAACCTACATTTTTATTTTCCATAATCAAGTTAATAAAATTAAACACGATTAAAAACTATTATTGATTTCTTTAATTGAAGGGTCGAATAGAATAACGACTTAAGCGCGTGAGCCTATCAGCCTGGCCCCTGAGAATAGGCAATCCTCGCTATGCGCGAAAGAAAAGTATCCGATTAAAAAAACATGAACAAATATTATTCTGACAAAAAACTTACAACGAGGAAGTTGTTCATAATGGTAAGTATATGTTTTTAAGTATATGTTTAGAAATGTTTAGAAGTCTACATATTATATTTTCGAAGATATGGAGAGTTATATGAACGTATCTGTTTGATTCGACTACCGCGCGTGTACTCTAGTACGCAGTATTGTCAGCAAAACGATAAAATTTCTTTCATGCTATGAATAAAACTCTTCAATAAAGTAAGTATGAATTTTCTTAATATTTATTAATTGCAAAACAGGTAAAACTTGTGAAATTCATCAAAGAAATCGAATTTTCTTTTTTATAATTGAAATGAAACTCTTCAAAATAGTAAGTTAAAATTTTTTTTCTTATTTATTGATAATTTTCAGCAGGTAAATCTTATACTCTTTAAAAAGTCGAAAATTGTAATTACAATAAAACTCTTCGATATAGCAAATATCTATTTTCTTATTATCGATTAATTGCTAACAGGTAAATCTTATTACACTTAAAAAAAATCAAACATACAATACAATAATAATGTAGCAATTTTCATAACTAATTTTTTTTTATTTTGTGATCTGTTTTTTTTCGCAACCACTAACTGCTCTTTAGACCCTGGTCCCATAGCTACGTATGAATGCGGACGGATCCGGTCGCGAATCGCAACTCTAGTAACATCACTAAAAATATCTAGTTCGATTATTTAGTACCAACACTAACGGTAGTGAGCAAAAGTGACTGTTTTTTAAAACTGTAGCGCCGAACGTACCACATTTAATGAACGCTTATCTAACCTTTACATTATTGCAGTCTATAAGATGGCAAATGATAGAGAATTGATAGAATTTCAACTACAATTAATGGAATTAGTCCTTAATTTTATGGAAGTACTTGAATATATGAGAAGAAGAAATATATATAAATGATATGTATTAATCATCCCAAAAGCTTTTTTTACATTAGCATACTTATCAATAAGCAATATTCATGAGAATTTGAAAAGTAAATTGTAGACCTGACATTTGAACATTAAATGTGGTACGTTCGGCGCTACAGTTTCAAACAACAGTTACTTTTGCTCACTACCGGTAGTGTTGGTACTAAATAATCGAACTAGATATTTTTAGTGATGTTACTAGAGTTGCGATTCGCGTCCGTATCCGTCCGCATTCATACGTAGCTATGGGACTGGGACCTTACTGTGCGCGGACTAGTAGTATAGGTTATATAAGGGTTGGGTTCTAAGCCACTTTTACCATGCGAGTTTTATTCCTTCCTTACCAGCAGTCGGTAACATTATAAATTCCGTGTTATCGACCAAGGGGGTGTTTTATCGACAGTTTTTTTATTGACGATTTGCATTGTAGCCGACCGTTGTGTATGTGTCCCGATATGTAGGCCCCGCCGGTCGGTAGTTATCGACATGGATAGATGATGCCCCCGGCCCCATGCCCCCCCCCCCCCCCATGATCGATCAATTGATGAGTGAGATTGAAAAAAAATATATGATTAATGGTATCGACGGCGGCGAACAAAGGAAATTAATTATCAAAATATTAAACCCGTTAAATTAGAAGAATATTCACGGGTGTTTTCATAGTGGCAGCAAAAAGTACACGATGTTAAATGTATTACTCATATTAATATAAGATTGGAGCCATAATCACTACTATTGAATATGTAAGTTTAGTGTTGTATAATAGTATAATAGCATTATTGCAGATCTTAGGTCGAATTAATCTTTTGAATAATTTTTCCGATATATCTTAAAATGAGTAAAAGTTCATCCATTTTTAAGAAAAAATGGGTGCATGTTCTATTTTTATTCATCAATTAATATTGACGTATGTAGAAGCACGCTAAATAACACTAGTATGTCTAAAAAATTGTAGAAATTTACATTCGATATTTTCGAAGATATTTTACATGTACCGATCACCGAATATCAATGAATATTTTTATAGAGATAAAAATAATAAAACTTCGTTTCTAGTTTATAAAATATTATTCATAAGTTTTACCTGTTTATAAGTAATAAATAATAAGAAAATTGATACTTACTATATTGAAGAGTTTTATTCAGAACATGAAAGATATTTTACCGTTTCTCTGACAATGCTATCATTACTAGAGCACACGCGCGGTATTCGAATCAAACAGATACGTTAATATAACTCTCCATATCTTCGAAAATATAATATGTAAACTTCTAAAAATTTCTAAACCTACACTTAAAACCATTATGAACAATTTCCTCGCCTTAAGTTTATTGTCAGAATAATATTTGTTCGTGTTTTTCTAATCGGAAACTTTTCTTGCGCGCATAGCGAGAATTGCCTACTGTCAGGGGCCAGCCTGATAGGCTCGCGCGCTCAAATCGTTATTCTATCCGGCCCTTCAATTGATGTTATTAAATATTTTGATAGTGAATGAAATTTTACGTTTGTAAAATATTAATAGAATAAATTAAAAAAATTTAATAATCATGAGTATAGCTCTTTATAAACATAAGTTTTCACACTTGTATTTTTCTTCAATGATCATCAAGATAAATTATAAGGAATCGATTCTGAGACATGGCTTATACATAAAGATGTTCGTGATCAAAAATATTCCTTCGTAGATCTATACCTTTATTTATTGTGATCTCAAAGGCTAATTTTACTGGAAGCTACCTCCGTTTGAAAGTGAAAGGAAATACGTCTTCACAATATCAAGTTATACGCAAAAGATGCGTCAACTCTACTTTTTAAAAGCGAATACACCTCTGACTTTCTTACAAATTTCAAGACTTTTTTCAGAGATTAGAATTAATACAGAGGGATATATACCTTCTAAATTTTCTGCATTCTAGCAATAATCGCAGTGAAGGGAACAGCATTTCTCTCAAAAATTATTTTAAATAAAATATAACATACAAATAATTGGAATGAAAAATATTAAAATGATTTTATATATTTATACCAAATCGGAAATTAGTATAATTATGACGAAACATTTTTTTCGATACTCCGTGCGCAAAGTGCGTCTTTCCAGCACGCTCGGTAGAAAACGTGCGTTGAAAATTACACTTTCCACATGTCGTATCAAAAAATACGGTACGGTACATGTTCGCTTCGCTCGGGTGCAAATGCCACACGAGACAAGAATCTACTTTCCCGCACTTGTATCGTAATGTACTATAAATTAGATTAGTTTAAATTAGATGTTAGATTCAATTAATAGAAACATTCATACTGTATGAGCCAGTCAGATAGTGTGTATCGCATCATCACTGTGGATTCATATCCGGTCATGACTTTGGTAAGACTTTTGAATTAATAATTAAAATAATAATTATACATAATTAATTTAAAAAAATATTTCTATAGTGGTAACAAATTAGAATTATAAATGTTAGAAAATTAATTTTACAGCTAAAAGACTTTACAACTTACCATTTTTTTGTACGTTTTATATAATTTAGTAAATTATTAAATACGACAAATTAATTAATACCGAATACATTTTTTACTATTTTTTAAATTTTCAATAAAAAGTGGACTTATCGTCTCTTACATAGAAAGAAATGAAGTTCAAACTAAAAACATTTAAAGCTATACAAAATAAGGTAAATTATAAAAAGTAAGGTAATTGATGAATAAATATAAGCCAGTTCAATTAAATTAAACTATGTTATTTACAAATATCATCACTGTACATACTAGATTCAATTGTTTTACATTTTATAAAAATTTACATACATACTTACAAAAATATTATAACATTTAACAGATTTTGTTTTTAGATAATTTTTGTGACTGAGATGTTCAAAAAAATTAAATTACACTTATCATGCCAACAATATAAAAGACAGGCTTTAAAAAATAGTCAATTTATTGAATTTTGATTGACATTTTTCTACAATCTGTTAATCCATTCGTTAAATGCAAAATCAAAGACTATATAAACATAAGCTTTCATTTGAAACTAATAATTATTTAGGAGAAATCAATTTTCTAATTATTTAGTTATGCCGTATAACGTTCGAAATGTGCCTTAGAATTGAGTCATCGCACAGCCTTTATATTTGAGAAAACTAAATATTTAAGATACAATAAGTAAAAACTATATAAATCTAGATATATGTGTAAAAATGCTCAGTGTACAAACTCAGCTACGCCGTAAATCTAAAAATCATTTGGATTTAATAAAAAAAGTTCTTTTATACAAGTATTAGTACGCCACTATAATATTATAAAATAAAATTTAGTTTTTTACATATAATCACTATGAGAAGATTCTTCTGTAAATACCAATACTAAAAACTGCTGCTTTTTCTTGTAAATATTTGTTCAAGCAAACTTCTATAATTATTTTATTACACCTCGACATCGTAAAGATCTAAGAAAATATAAACAATTCAGTTTCGTCGACACACAAATAACATATTTTCTATTTATTACACATGTTTTAATTTCTTATAATAGCACTTCATCGCATTTAATCTAATTTGTCCGAAACCAGCGGGAATCTTACTATCCTGAGCTGTCTACCAAAATCGCATACAATGCTATCTCGCAAAGGTATCATTTGTTTTACAAAGACGCAGCTATCTTTGTGGCCCAGTCTTACTTCTCGGATTGGTTCACCAGTCCTTACATCCCAAACTATAAGTGATCCCTACAAAGAAATTTTAATTCGAATATCAAAATAATTCGAAGATATAAAAGTGTATTATGATTAATAGCTTGTTGATGCAGAATTGTTGTTATTCTTAATTTAAGCATCTGTATTCAAAATAATTTAAGTCGTACCTGATTACTTGTAATGAGTAAATGATGGGTCAGCATTACTATTTGTAAACTGTATGCCGCCCTATGTGCTGGAATTGCATGAAGTAGATGCCCTTGAAATCGTTCCCAAACGCACAGCTTTTCATCTGCACCAATACTTATTACGTATGATGCCGAACAAGTAATAGCAGCTACTGCACCGTCATGTGCTTGTATACTATACATGCATGTACCTATTGAATATAAAATATTCAGTGAATCATTGACGTAGCTTTGCATATTTATTTTGTAAAAAAAAGCTATCGCCTTCTTATACAAATTTATTTTTCAAGTTATTTATGGCACAGTAAGTAATTACCAGTAGAAAGATCCCATACACATAATAAACCATCTTGTGACCCACTACCAGAAGTCATAGGGCTAACTCTATCAATAAAAAGACAAGTAATAGGTCCACAGTGACCGTGTAAAGTATACAAAGGTAACTGATCTTCCAATCTGTAAGATTCATCCAATTTAATAATTAATTATATAAGCATCAAACATTCATGAAGCAAAAATGTTTTGCTTAAAATTATTATTGCTTTTCAGTACCTGTATACTTTGAGTGTGTGATCTTGACTTCCTGTCAAAACACGTCCACCTTCGCTATCTAAAACAGTTATAGCCTGCTGATGGGCTCTGTGTGAACCTATCTTCATACAACGTAAATCCTCTTCAGACTGCATAACATTATTGAAATCCATTGGCGATCCTGCGCTTCCCGTCCGAACATGAGCTGAAAAATTGTACCAATGAATTATATCAAGTCACTGCAAATTTTATTATTCGTGAAAAATTCTATAATTAATACTAACTCCTACGATAAGATGTGAATCCCCAATCAACCTGTTGACCTTCACTGTAACTCTCAAGTTGCAGAAAGTCTATTGCACCATTTAATTTAGCTACTATTACTTTACTTCCAACAAATTTAACAGCCGAAATTCCAAGTCCAGATCCATCATCAAATAAGCACTGAAACATAATTAGCCATAAATTTTATCACTTTTATCTTGTCTTTATTGAAATTGTTTTTTAATTAATTAAAAATATAAAAAGAACGAACAAGATTTATGAGTAATCTATTTACCTTAAATTTTCCTGTGGTACCTTCCCAGAATTCTAGAGTGCCATTTGCACATCCAATTACAATAAGATTTTCTTGATAATCCATGCACCAGATAGATGATACTTCAAATGTACTTTGTAACATCTTTTCTGTGTGTAATGAATTCGCACTATCAGTAAAGTCATTTATTCTATCTAACCTCGGCGAAGCACTAATCAAATGTTCGTTACTATACGTCCGATAAACGTGATCACTTAGTGTATTCTTGCGATGCTCCTCGAAGAGCTGTTTGTACTGCTCACCAAAATCGAAACCCTGCTCGTAGTTTTGGTGACGCAATGGACTCATTGCGAATTTAGGTGAAGTAAATTTGGTGTTGATACTAGGACGTAAGTCTGGCAAATCAAATGTTTGATCGAGACTACGGCGTATCGAACGACGTCTGTCCGTAGCCTCATTGATTTGATAGTCATATTCTAACATGTTGCTTCCAGTAGAGTAGCGTTTGCTTGGAAGCATAACTCTGACTCCATTGAGACGATTTGGGACAGAGTAAGCTCCTGGGGGAGAAGACTTGCGCTTCTGCACTGGTATCGCCGAATACACCCCAGGTGAATTGGGAGTATCTATTTCCCCTCGCGACGGAGGAGAGCCACTTTCATAATCGGACATCTGCTCTTCCTACGCAAAGTACAATTATATATGAATATAAAAAAATCACTAAATTATTAAATTTAACGATTTGGCTAGAATAAAAAAAATATTACTTGATTCTTTATAGGCTGGACGATATCATTGTGTTTGCGGCTGAAGAATAGCTGTCTGTCAATGTGCGCTAGCTGCTCACCAGAAAGTGAATCCCAGACTCGGATATGACCAGCCAAACAAGAACTGGCTACGGTATTACCATCTACAGCAATGCACTCAACTTCCTGCACGTGACCCTCAAGAACCAACGGCACTACTTCGAGCACCAACTGTGTCGCCGAGTCATGGCCGGTTTTCTCGTGCGATGAAGACCAACTTGCTCGCCATTCTGCATAGTTGCGAGTGCATATGCAACGATACAACACAACCATTGTATAGGCTACGACAACTACACTGATTAGACACAATACTGCAGCCAGAAATATTTCCATAGGACTCGACGGAATGAATGGAGCATCAGTGTTGAAGCCTCGACCTTCCGACCTTATTGGTATTTCCATATCTGAAGTGTCATGTCATTAACAGACTGTAACATTTCATAAAAGTATAAAGCCATTATAAATGATACCTACCTGAAAAATCTAAAGGATCGAGAGCTGCTGTTGCAAAACTTTGCCATTGGAAATATTGCACATCATTAGGATTACTTATTTGCCTGACAGAGTCAGGACTGACAGCATGTGAAAGTTTTATTGTCGGAAGTATAGTTACTCGTTCACCAGCCATCGATATGTTGTATGATGACAGTATTGCGGACCAATGATATAGGGATAGCCGATTCCATGGCGGAAAATCAAGAGGTCGTAATTTGTTTAACTGTTCGGTTAAATTGTTGGATGGTAAATTCTGTTAGAATAAACATTTTAATATTAAGATAAAATTTTCAACCGTTATTAATGTCCATAGAATCAATTATAAATTAATTTCAATAAGCCAAAAATAGTCATAAAATTACCTCTTCACTTAGTTGATTTGAGCGAGAAGTTGTTGAAGATACTACGAAAGGCTTTGCAATATTCATATTGATATATTGATCAACAGTTTGCGGTCTTTCAATGGTGTAACTGTCAATATCATCTTGTTTTAATGTTTCACCCAAATGGATAACGTGTTCAATGATACCAGAATCATAAATGATCATACTGATCCAAACAACCATCCACACCATGAAAGCTCGTTGAAAAATTCTTGTTCTTGCCCAGAAATGAACTAATCTTAGTCTTTTTGGAATTTTCACTAATGTCAACGTATTTTGGTTATTAGGAGCTATAACATTTGTTGGGCCATTGGTCGGCACCATTCCATTAAGTCTTGGGTGGGATTTTGATCGAAAGATATTTGGCTTTTTATTGGAAATTGTTGTAGTAAATTGTTGTTTCCTTAATGGTGCTATATTTTGTAAGTGGAATTTTGAATTTTGAGACGACATTTCTTTTCTTTGAATATCAATGGCGAGAGTTGTTGAAAATAGGACCATTTGCAGGAAAAAATCATTCAGAAGTCCAACTATAGCAAAAATACAAAACTCTTGAATTGCGGGTACGAATGTAAAAAGTCCAATTGTGAGTATTGTAACTTCTGTTAATAGATTTTTTGTAATTGACCAGCCTTCTTTTGATAAACCTTGTGCCATACGAATCTTTACATCCAAGTGAGCAGGAGTACTTACTACACTTTTAGTAAGAACCAAAACATTTTCCAATCCGACTATAATTACTAAATATGGAAACACTTCCTTGCCACTCAAACTCAATGTTAATCCAAAAAAAAAACAAACACCCACACTCATTGATAATGATGCAATAACTGTAGCAGTAGCACTGAATGCCATGCCTACTTTTGATTTAATCAATTCGATTTTTCGGACAGAGAAATATACATAAACAAATAACGCAACAAACGTCATTGCTAATGGAAAAAAGTCGTTGTAATTAAATTCACCGGGATAAAGAATGTGGATTGTTTCATCATTAGGAACAGTATATGATCCATTTTGTTCTTTTGATTGATGTAATGGATAATACATTATTAGACGTTTCTTTAAACCGTTAATAAACCTATAACAAAAATTATTAACATTAATTCTTCAGTTTTGAAATTACCATAAACCTATTCATGAGATACCTACAAAGGGTCATATTCCTTTAAAAATATTGTTACCGCATACTGTAAAATTCGTTGTCTGATCCTCAGTGGATACCTTTTAAAACCTGTTTCTTTGAGACTCATACCAAAAAGCATCTCAGCCATGCTAATTTTTCCTTTTTGCAAATTCTAGACATAAAAACAAATCATAAATTAATGTGTTTTATTTTTTAATAAATAACCAAATGATTTTGCTATACCTGATAGGAAAAAATTGTACCAATAATATTTGTATCTTGATTAAATGCTTCAATGCTTCTTTGCCAAAAGTTAGCTGGAGATAAAATTAAACAATTGTATTCTGGTAAAACTTCAGGCTTTTTCACATTTCTTTTCTTCACAGCTTCAATATGAAGGCATGCTTGGCTCAAAGATTTCAAGCTGTAATTACAAAATATTTTAAATAAAACGATTCTCTAAATATTATTACATTTTAATTATATTGATTACGAAAATTGAAATAAAAGAAGAATAAATAAAGTACTTCTCTGTATCTTGATAATTTTGAATAATTTCTAATAAATTGAAGATTTCAAATAAAGGCCCTCTGAATGCATCTGATAGAGATAAATCTTCTGCCCACGGTACAACAGCAGTTCGAAGAACCACCTGTTGTACATATAAAGCTGGGCTGTCTGAGCCATTTATGGGATCAACAGTGTTGTTTATAACAACTTTTGGGACAAGCCCAGGCATAGGTAAGTTTACTAATGGATAGCTAGAATTATTAATATGCTTGTGAATTATTGTTTTTCAATATATATCATGATTTTAGTATAAAATATACTTACCAACATAATAAAATAACCGAAATGGCTAATGAAACTATAGCAATTGGGTGAGAAGAGCAAAACAGGCCATGGGCATAATACAGCCCTGCCACTCTGTCTGGCAGACTGCGAGACATTTCACCTCACTGTTAACATTTCTACATTTAGCAGGTACTTCTTCCTACCTATAAAACCAATGACATATTTCAATTTGATAAATTTAATTGAAATTTCTAAATGGCACCATTAGCAAAATTAATTTAAATAAAATAAAATTTGAAAAAAATATTCTAAAGTGACAAAAAAATAGACATTTAAATAACTTTAATATATTTTATAAAGCTATTTTATATACTTAATAACATAAGAAAAATTATAATCTGAACTATATGAAAAATTGTGATATGCTGATTACTCTGCTGCATTCTGTCACTTATATTTAAAGAATTGCCATCTACGTGGAGTAAACAAAAAAGTACCAAGCACAAAGAGCTTTGATTATTTTTACATTACGCAATTTATCTGTATCAATGTTCTGATACTGTGTTTCATGAATAACATTAGTTTGCAGAAATATTATCTGAAGAAATTGTATTCAATAAGAAATTATTAATATAAGTAATATTTAAGATAACAATATATTTAAAAAATGATAATACATATATTGAAAAAATTTATAAGGTAAAGTAGAATAACATCTGCAACTTCTTTTCATTTTTGTGACAGACTCTTTTTATGACAAAAAATAAATATTGTTATATATCAGTGCCAATCAACAATTGAAAGTTGGAATATATACATAGAAATATTGCCTAGTCATACAGCTACACACAATAATAACACTAGAAAATTTACATAATATGTACCAAGCATGGAAAACAAGGAAAAAAGCCTTTACCTTATTTTACACGATCCAACAATATAGAATTGTACGTAACAAAACGTTGAAAAGGACCACGCAAAATTCACACCAAGTACATCGGCCGGCATATAAAAATAGATATCAAATACGCGAGCCAAACAGCCAGCCTGTATATTCTACAATAATTCGTCTATTGCTTTACGAACTCTTGAGGTTATGTTCTCATGCGTCATATTTTTCTTTTTACATTTTTTTACACGCATAATTTCACCTTCAAGTTGAAATACTAATTTAGTCAGTAACGTTTCGAATCAGAGAAGCAATTATTAATGAATGGTCAAATAGTAAAATAAAAAATAAAATTGTAAGTTTCGGCGCGCACGAGAAACATATAGCGCAAGTATCGAACAAAGTTCAATTTTCTACACTCAAATCGTTACGTCAGTGCATGAAATCCATGCGCACGACAGAATGATTCTTGAAACATGTCATCGCAATAAGCCATTGCTGTGATCACTATAATTGACAATAACACACAAACAGGAACTAGATCAACAATTATATCTAGCGTACGTATAAGTCCTACCGATACTGCTGCAAATACGCTGTGTGACTACACGTGTAGGTGCGTAGAATACTATTTCAAAAAAAGACACGTTATAACCAACACATTACGAATACTTGTTGAAAGACACGAATAAGTAAACAATTTACGGGGCAAATCAACGGCATGCAATGGCCGATGATAATTCTAAGTTTAGAGCCTTGGACTGCGCAAATATACGATCTTATTTTTAAACGCGAACGCGATGACAACGTTGACGAGTCTAACCAAGCCTCACAGTCACAACTCACAATCACAACTATCTGGCTGTGTTCTCGTATGTGTCGCTGCGACGCTGCATCACTGCACTATAGCGTAATACCTACCACGCGGCGCGGCATTTGTGTCGTGCGTTCCTTATTATGTATGAACGAGTTTCGATGTATCTTTCTCTCTCTCTTCTATGCTCTGTTAACGAGCCTCCGTAAAGTAGCCAATCAGAGTCAGATGCAACTGGTTTACAACTATATACCATCGTCGAGCAGTACTCGCTACACTACGCTTATATCTCTGTCTTTTCCTTTGCTATTACTTTTAAATGTATCATATAAATGGATAGAGCGAAGCTGTCTCTCTGGCATTACTCTAGCGCGTACAAACTTTATTTGTTTATTTGTACGTGCGTGACGTAAGAACTCTCGTGTTTTACCTACTTCTATTAAATCAGCGTCTTTACGGGTGTATATATATATATACACACGTGACCGCGCTGCATATAGGTCTCAGGTCAGCCGCTTTGATTGCCACAGCAGTAACTTTTATGTGCGTATAGTCCACAATTAAGGCGCAATAGTTACATTTTTTAGAAACTTCAAGTAGGTATACTATCTAGTAGTGATATAAAAGTCAATATCACTTTTTTTCTTTTGTTTTTGTTTTATTTTTATACATGCATGTTCAAGGTCATTGAAATTAACAATTAATAAATAACATTTCAAACAGCACGAGAGATTTCGATTCAGGTAGGTATGCGATTTATACGTCGCAGTGAAAAAATAATGGCATAAATAAAAAGTGAACGTATCAAGCGTGCGAAACAAATGCATTCACAAAAAAACGCGAAGTCGGTCTTAACAATTCGGATCGCAGCAAAGCAGGCGCAGTTTCTATTATACGCACTATGTGCACGACATACACCGTCTCGATGTTCTTCGGAAAAAATAAATAGAAGAATAACATCTCGAAGGCTTAGTTAGTTTTTAGTGATTCTGTGAAATAGGCCTGTTGAAGTAATATTTACACAGGATATCGTTTGGATAACGATTCTTTCGACACCGATCTGTTGACTCGAATTAAAAACGTGTGATTGAAATACAGATTGGAAACGTCGAATTCATGGAGTGCTTCGTTACGACGATCCAATGTTTCAAGTTGTTTGTATAGTAAGAAACAGATACAAGATTATCTTTGAACTTGGATGATTCGAAATGTTACACTCATCATAAAAATCAACAATGTCATCTCAACCCGGTAACAAACTGTCGCAAAATAACTTTACGTAGGTTTTCATTCGTATTCTTTTTTGCGTTAATAGTTACAGATATAAAAAAAGTAAAATTACGATAAACATACGGCTACTGCGATGACCAACAAGTTCTCATAGTATTTCTTGACGGCCTAAGTCGAGGCCTTAGCTCTATTTCAAGATTTACTTAATCAGTTTACATCAATAACGCGTAGTGGCCGTGAAATAATGGACCTGATAACTTGCCTCAAATTTTGATAGAACAAAGTAAGAAAATTCACAAATGAAATAGTCACTTGCAGAAATTTCAATTGAACGTTCTATGAAGCCTTACTGATCTACACATTTATAACATTTCGCTCACACTGACAATATATTTATGTAGAATATTCTCACGTGATCAAAATTAGTTATTACGGAATGCATGAACTTTGAGATAAAATTTATTGTTGGAGATACCCGAATAGAAATACCTCGTACCCTCTGGTATTTACAAAAAGGTTAATCTTTAAGCAAGCGTAGGCGTAAACAATTATCAAGACAATCGTTTCAAATCGATTTTATTTCAAGATACATTATCAAAACTTCCATAATGAGATAAGATATAATGCAACTCGTAATGATAAATATGTAAAATGTAATCGCTTTCATCATCTATGGTGATACACAATATCTTTTTGGCGTTATTAGCGCTGTTTTATTTGCTTTAGGCTTTGTATTAAAAATAAACTTTTGACGACAGAATTTCCACACGATAATTAAAAGCGACAACAGTAACACGACTTACCTATTTGATCTACAACCTTTGCTTCTTGGTTTTGCTATTAAATCCATTCCTCTGTCAAGCTGCAGACTTTGAACGTTCTTCAGACATAACTCTTCAAGACAATAGTATGAAATCCACGATGTTCGAATTTGTAGATAAATCTTCATAGTCTTTTACGTCATTGCTCGTTACTATTCATAGCGTTTTGTGAAAAAGTATATATTTCATTTTTTATCATACGTCTATACATTTACGTTGTCACGTTGAACGTAAGTTATATTTTGTGACAAAAACACAAAGCAATCGACTATGAATCGAAAGTAGTTCTTTCAGTTGTGTCAGTACAGCTTATTACTCGTGATTTATTAAGTTTGTTTGCGTCGAAGAGCTCATTTCTGCGCACGAAAACTGGATGAATGTTACAAGGGAAACCGGTTGCTTTTCAACAATTTTCATACCTCTTATTTCACATAAAAGTCGTTTTATATTTAGCTTCTGATGCGCTTCATTTCATCTTCAACTATCATCGTTACAATATCCAGAACACAACGTAGAACTTACGTGCTCACAAAATACTGACTAGACAGTTAGTAATTTTCTTAAATGTTCACGATTTTTGTTGTTTTCATATAATAAATCACTGTTGGAATAACGCTCGAACAGTTGTATCTAAAGCTTCCAATAGTTACGATGGATCTTGTAATAAACGAAGTAGCTGGAAGCAATGATTCACTATTATACTGCGTCGTGTTTTGGTACTTGCACTTGCTATTGTTGAAAAATACTCTGATAAAAATTTGCCACACTACACGATGTTTTTCACTTGTGATGATAGATGTGGTTAAGGAACGGCACTCGTAATAAAGAAAATATAGAGAAGAAAAACGACATTGGGTATAGATATATTGGCTGAGCGACGAGTGCGTTGAGTAGAATCGCAAAACGTTGCACACGCGAGTGCTGTCAGTAACAGAAAAGAGACGCCGTTTCTACCGGCAAGACGAATGCCGGCGCGCGAACTCTCGGAACCGCGCAGGCGTGTACAATTACGCGCGAGGAGCGATCGAAAAGTTGGCGACGTGTGTAATGTACGTCAGCTCGAGGTCGTCGGCTGGTGTTAAGTAGGCACGCACACACGTAAACGAGCGCGAGGAAAAAGAGGCTGCTCGCCTCTGCCGCGGCTGCTATACTATTGGCTTTCGGGCTCTGTGAGTCGGACTCGACCCTGACCTTAGCCATGCGCGATCGCCAAGCCAATTACGTCTTTCAACGTTTTTTTATCCTCTCTCTCTCTCTCGCCGCTGCGGCTTTCGGCTGCACGCTCAATCTCCCGTAATGAAGTGACAGTAACTAATGCTTATTTTCACTACACGTCAGTTCTCTACAACATCAATGCACGATACTTGCCATAGACACTGAATTTTTCATATTATAACGACTTTTCTTCCTACGTGACCCATAGCAAAATATTAAGATATCACGCGACTTGCCACGATCAAATCGCCTTCACGATTCCAGCACTCTTCTTGATTGCGATTCTAACTCTAATCAACCGGCCTTGATATTTTTCGGCGAAAGACACGAACATTTCACGTGAAGCATTCAAATTTAGCATCATTTTCTAAACACGGTTCAAGCGATATCGTTACAACTTACTATATTCGACTTTTACTGTCACTAATTGAAAATGCTTTGAAACTCAGTTTGCTTGCATAAAATTGAACCAATGAAGTTCATTTAAAATCATAAAGCTCTATGAACACACACATACCCTATGCGTAGCTTGAAGTAATTGAAGAATCTCGAGCGGTACGCATCTTTCAAGCTATCTAAAGTGAAAAACTAAACTGATGTAATTGGACTTTGTGGATCGATTGAAGCAACATTTCATAAAACTACAAGAAAATCTTTCTAAGCAATACATTATGTTTCTCAATGTACTATTCAGTTCGTAATTTACTGCAAATGTTTAATTCATTAATATACGTCAGATAACCATTAGTCATCAATAATAATACGGAATGAACTTGTACGTACGTATGGTATTCATCTCAGTGAGCAGCAACAAGTTTCATTCTCATTGATCGTTCGTTCAACTCGTATTCACTTAAAGTACAGCATATGCTAAATAAAATCAACGGTACCTCCTGATTTATATGTCAATGTAGTTTAAAATAAACATTTTTCAAAGATTCTTTATGAACATTGCAAATATCGTGTCATTCAAAATACTAGATCTTTCAATGGTACATTTAATAACCAAAAAGTCGATGCAAAAATTTCCACGAACTCTCGTTATCGCTGCAAGTAACAAAAAGGAGATGATTGCCCCCGGGAGGTTATGCCGATAGTGCATTGACAAACATTTCATTATTTTGTAACAAAGGTTTGAACTGTCAAAGAAAGGAGCGCTTATGTTTGATGGTATGATAACTTTGCCATTTATTATCCGACGGTCTATCTAATTACGTTACTTCGGTTACTTCATTAAACTCCATTCCTGCTACGTGCCTGCAGATCATAATTAACAATAGCTGCATTTCTCATGTGTCAGTAACTGTATACATGATTGAATATTTTTCATGGTGCAATCAAACTCCATTTTAAGAACTTATGCAGCGTGAAACATTATGTTATTTTTCATTTTAGCTAAACCAAGTTATAAAGTCTACTAACTTTTGTTAATGAAGCTTCAATTATATCAATTGCGTGACGATGAAAATTATATAGTCTTGAAATGATCAATTCCGTGAATAGTTTGCAAATAGCCTCTGTCTCTGGCAATACAATGTACAAGCGCATTCACAGTTGTTCGATTAATCTATACGTATATCAAAATTATATATCAAAATTATATATTAACAATTGGCAAAAATTAGAATTAAATTAAGATAAATTTATCAGCGATTACTTATTTTAATTTAAAATTAATATCATACTAATACAGTCTTCGACGGCGTCAACAATTGTATAAAGACTTTTCTTGTTTCTTCTATTAGTTAAAAATTGCATTATTTTTACTAATCTATATGTGCGTCAAGAGATTACGTCACCTTCGAGTTAAATTGATATTCATACTATATGTTCATACTTTATACTTTTCTCTTTTATATCTCAGTGTACAAGAGACTGC